CAACCATGCCCCCCCCCAAGCCCTGCAGTCAAAGCGAAGTCTAACTTGCATTTAAGGTAACTTGCATCTTGGACTTCACCAGGTCAGAGGACTAACAGGTCACCTCATGGATCTAATCCAGCAAGACAGGGAAGACTCTCAGCTCCTCTTGAATCACTGCACAGGAGTCCTGCAGAGACTGGTACCCCTAGGGTCACCCACACGGGTCCCCATGGCTGTCATTAAAGGCCAGCCAGTGCCGTGTTACTGCACTCACAAACCTTTAACAACTTAGACCTTTGCTGCCCTCAAAAATATAATGAAGAAACCACGCAGGCCAGCTACTAAAGTGCTTATCACTCTGTGCTTAAAGGAGAGGACAGGAAATTTAATTTGTAATAAAAATAAAATATTTCTGCCAGGTTAGCAGCCTTCAACTGTGTTCCCTAAACAGTTGCTTAAAATACTTGAAAACTACTGTAAAAACCATGCCTCAATAGTGGCTGGTGTGTTAAGTTTTAAGCGCTGCTTTAAACTTGTAGAAATTCTTCCTCAGGTGGAAAGCAGCTGCCCTCGGGACTGTGACCTCCCCACACCCATCCCACGGCTCGGGGACACGTGGCTTCAGCTGGCTCAAGGGTAGATATGACTGGGACCTTCTCCAGCCAACTTTGAAAGATTTCAGTTTTAACCAAGTCAACGTGATGTCCAAACGAGAAATGGGAAAACATCAGGAACAACAGATGCTTTCTTATGAAAATTTAATATCAAAACCACCCTTAATTTCTCATCCAAAAAAGTTTCAACAGAACAGTTCTCACTAGACCAACAACATGCCCTTCATACCTGTTGGATCAACTGCATGGAGACCCACATCTCATCACCTACAATGTTCACGTGGACTGCAAATTATTGTCCCCAAGGAGCTCTGCATAGAGCCAGCAGCAAGTCAACAGGCCATCTCGTGCAGAAGTGACACTGAGCAGTAAGTACTGTCACAGACCCAGCCCTGATGCTATGAAGTCAGTGCCTCTGTGCAGCAGGAGCCTGCTGCGCTGCCAGCCCTGAAGCACCCCGACGGCTTCTCCAGGCTATGGACTCTGACGCTGCAACAGAGCCCACGCACAGATGTACAAACTGTCTGTTGGTTTAAGGCAGGCCATTTTTAAGGATTATCTTCCATTATTCTCTCCCAAAGCCATACACTGCACTTCCCTTGGCCACCACACTTCCCTTCCAACATCGTTTTCCCATGAACAGCACCAAGCTCCGCAGACGCTCCCATTTCCATTCCTTTCCTATCAGCAGTTCTGCTAAGAACCATTTCAGCTTTTTTTCTAATAGCAATTTCCCAGCTGTCCCAGGAAAAGACTCCACGAAACAGATCACAAGAGCCTAAATAATTTTTCATTTACCTACCTAACCACAGCAGCTTGTTTGCCGTGGGTGTCCTGCCATTGTGCGTTCAGCCCAGCACGGAGATCTTCCCATTAGCTCCATCTCCCGTTCTCATCCTGGGGAGGGTCAAACAAGACCCTCTCTCTACAAGAGTCAGGCTTCCTAAAAGACTGGATTTCTATCATTTAAAGTAAAGTTGCAATTACAGATGCATCCAGTAGCCTCCATCCCAGGGTATGGCAGGCGCAGTACGGTAGGATGCTAGAACAGCACCATTCACCTGAACTCCAACCGAAAGCCTTATGGCATTTTAAAAGCATTACAAAGGTGACTTTGTCCCATAAACCCTGACGGAATATTTTCAGCCAGCAGTTGCATTAAAATCTATGGGATTATCTACACATGCAGACACTGTATAGGGTCATAGAAAGCTGTGCTGGAGTGGACCTTCAGGAGTCATTTTATCCATCTGTATTGCCCCGCAGCAGGACCAGATCTATTTAATTAATAATGAGCAAGAATTGCAGCTTTAGGAAGCTGAGCAAAATCTGGCGATGCCACACAATAGCTATGGCAAAGAAATGAATGCAACATCTGAGAGTGGGTTTTGAAATACCACTTGCACGACACATACAAAAAAGCAAAATTTTCTGCTCTTTCAAGCTGAATTTGCTGAGCCGTTGTGGGCTGGGAAGCCGCCCTTTGGTGCAACAAGCATACAGCACACGCTTTTCAAGAATATCTACTGCGGTAACATGTTCTCCATGATCAAAGTTGACTTGAAAACAGGTAACGTTAAGGTTAACACAAAAAAGTTTGCCTTTTATTTATTTTATTTTTTAAGAACAGGAGGATATTTAAGAGCTTATTTAGCTCGTTCAAGCACTGCAAGAGCTGGGGCGAGAGGAAGATTTCAGAGCAAATGGACACAGGAATGTCCCACCTGCCTGCAATCTCTTTCTACAGTGACGATCCTTAGCTTAAAGTTTTGGGATATTTTGAAATGTCCGAAACGTGGATCCAGATGACAGGGTAACGCCCCTGCCACACCTTTATTTTAACAAAGATGTGTCAGTTCCCGATCGATTCTTTTACAAGCTACTTGGGAATTTCCACTGGCACTGGGACAGTAATGCAGCAATTGTTCTCTCTGAAAACACGGAGCAGAGAATGGCATTTCAGTAAAGCACACACAAAGAAAATAACTTAGGGTAAAGCTCCTGGTTCTTGGGAATTACCCACTGGATTCCCAACCATCTTATCAAAAAGTCACAATGCCCAAGTCTCAAACTTCACTTTTATTCCTTTTCAAGAGCCAATCACAAGAGCAGCACCAACATATCAACCCAGACATTCTTACTCCTGTGTTTGTCCTCCTTAAAATAAACACTAATAATAAGTTGAAAGATTATGCGAACCGGAGCACGAAGCATTTCCTGCTACATGCTCCTTCTTTGTAACCAGAAAAATTCCTACACCGGAGGACTCCAATGTGTCCCCCCCCTCCAGGGGCAGGTTTTCTGCTAGGATGAGATCCTCCTTTTGCTGTCACCTCAAAAAGACAAAAACGTGAAGTCCCACTTACCGCTCCAAGCATGATCCTGAAAATCAGCCACCGAAATCCCCAGATGACGATGCTGGAAGGAGGCGTGTGCTGGGGCAGGCGGGAGAGGGTCCAGAGAGGGCAGAGGAATATCCCCAGGAACCCTGTTTCCAGGAGCTGCGATTCCCATCCTGTAGTGCCAACATGTGAGAAATGAAAAAGAAAAGAGTTACTGTACAAGTCCTGTAAGTTATCCTTTCACAAATTTTAAACACCCAAAAATAAAAAAAAACCCCAAAACTGTAATGCTTTCTGAATTTAACTTGGGGAAACGTCAGTACCAACTCCTAACACACACATCACACACGCTGGGAATTCAGATGCTTTAAGCTACGGTGTGAATGATGTGGATCTACGTTCGGTGCATTGGGTTGTGTCGTTCTTCTCCAAGAGCACACACCGACACTTTTGCTGTTTACATGGTTATTTTACGCAGCGTGAAGCAAGACAAAAAAAATAAGAACTTTTATGAAGCAAAGGAAAATGCGATTTAAGTGCCCTGGGAATTGGCATGGTGACCCAGGCACACAACTGATCGGTGCCGCTACTGATTCCCGCAGACCAGGGACTGCCTGAGCCATTGCCACCAGTCCCACTGACTTTACTGGTTTTGTGCCAAAATGGGGCAGTCTCTATCTTCAAAAGATGATGATTAAAATCACATTGTCTTGTTCATCACCAACGTGCAACCGGAAGCTTTGAATCTTTAATCGTAAAGAAAAATCATAATGAAAAAAGTCCAAATCGTCCATCAAGCCAGTTTTACACATCGCTGAATATAGCAAAATTACTCTAGATTGAATACCAGTGGAGCTGAGATCAAAGCATGGCCTTGTAACCACACAATGAACCTGTTCCCTGCTTTGGAGAAGACAGACTATAACCTACTTCAGGCAAATCTGCATTTTGCATTTTCTTTTTCCAGCACGGCATAGAGTATAAATATTGAAATGATTATTCAGGAAGAGCCAGAGCACAGCAGTTCTGTTTTGACAGGTGAAGTCCAACCTCCACTACGTTTTTAAGTAACAATATACCGATGCCAAAACCAAATCACTCCAACTTACTACCTCCAATTACACACTCTTATTTTCAAGTATTTCTGTGCGATGCAATTGCACACTGAAGCCATTTAAAAAAAAAAAAAAAAAAAGAGACACTAAATGGCACACTAGTGGGGACAATTCCTGAAAACTCAGCAACCTCGTTGGAGCCATTTAAGATGCTGGTATTCCCACCTACACGTCCACATAAATTAAACCAGATAGTGCCTGTGGGTCACCTGTAGCCATGTTCCTTCCCAAGAGTCCCCCAGGCACCTTCCTAGTTTTCAAATAGCAGCAACAAAGTTTGGTCCCTAACACCTCCTTTCACCCAGCCCAAACAGGCAGGGAAACACCTATCAAAGGCATTAATTTCTTCCAGCTCCAGTCTGAGAGATCCGATTGCACACCAGCTCGAGATTTTTAAAACCCATGATTTGACATTGTCACGCAAGCAAAACTATGTTGAATTTGCTTTAAAATATTTGAAGTAGCAGCCACGCAATCTCCTCCTTTTTCTTAATATGCACAAGGTCCTTTAATTTAAAATGTAACGTGCTTTGTTTTTTTTCCAAAAATATTATACGTCAAACAGCTATTAAAAAATCCCCATTCTCCCTCCATACATCCTGTTGTTTCTAGAACAGATACCCCAACTGCCAAAATTAGCGCTTCTGAGAGGAGAAGCAAAGTATATTGTTATAAAAGCAGCTGCACCGGGAAAGCAATGGCTAATACAAAATGTGAAAGGTTAATTGTCACTAAACCCAGCCACAAATAGCAGTTATGGGTCTAACTGGCACCAAAATGGTAGTATATCTCCTTCGTTTCTGCCCGCACAAGAATCCCACTGTTATTGGTGTTTTCATATGTTAATCACTGTGTTCCCCTGCAGACATATAGGATGCACGCTGGATGGCTGAGCAGGAAGACGTACGCCTCTACATCTCCAAACAGCCTTTAGATCCCTACTATGCATTCCCCTTCGAGAGCAGCATCGCCTCTCACCAAGCAGGACACAGTGGCTTTTTTTTTTTTTTTATTTTATCTTTAAACCAAACTCCTAGGGAGGTGTTTGCGTGCGTGGACGGAAGGGGCACGAAAGGATCGTGCGATCCCACATGACACATTTCTTGCGCGTTAAATGGGTTATACGAGCACGCATCCAGCGCGCAGGGACGCGTGCATGAGCGCGCGTGTGTCCGAAGCAAAGCCGAAGCCTTCCCGGTATGCGCCGGCCTCCAAGGATCACGAGTTCAGCCTGCACCTGTGCTTCTTGTTCCAAAGCGACAAGTTTGAATCCTGGCACCACCACCACCCGGCTGCGAGTCCAACAGCATAATCCGATGCAAACCGTGCCAGCGAGGGGGACAGCTCAGTGCCGCGGCGGGAGGGGAGGACCGGAGCAAACAGTGCTGCCAGCTGTTGGGAGAAACCTCTTAAATTACCCGCTGCTGACAAGGGGGGCTGGCAGCGGGTGCAGCTAAGCCGGCACCAAACAGGGTTTAACTGCAAGTGCAGCCAAGGACAAACTACGGTCACAGCACCGTTTCAGAAGTCTCCGTCTAAACCTCCTCAGCTTGCGGCTAAATCCTGTCCAGCTCCGGTTGCTCTGCACCCATCGATGGCAACGGGCAGATTTGCTGGCACAGATGAAGTGCCGTGCTGTACTTTGCTCTGCTCCTGACCTTCATATCAGATCGCGGCAAGTTCCTGCTAAAAAACAAGTTTAAGATGCAGATATGCACGGAGAGCCTCTGATTTATTAACAACCCTCTTCCTGATGGACTGAGTCTCCACAGCTGGTAATGCGGTCATGCAGATCAATTTTCCGTACTAGCACACATCACCCAAACAGTCACATACCCTGCCCTCGGCAGCAGAAGCTCCTTCTCCAGCCTCCATCCATCTTCCTTCCACCCCAAGCAGCTCCTCGCCCTGGACCCCTCCTGCTCCCAACCCACGGCCAAAGCTGTCACCTCTTTCCCCTTCCCCATTTAGCGTGGATCTCATCCTGACCGTAACTTGTTAGTCCTCTTACAGGCTTCATCATGCACAAACAATTAAGCCTTGATGCTTGATCCTACTTCATAAGCAACGCAAGCACTTGTGATGGTAGGATTATCAGAGATGCTACATGTATCATGTTTTCCACTAAAAATTACGGCTAAATCATGAAGACATTCAAGGATGTGAACACGTTGTTGAACATCACAACTGTATCCACAGTACAGCATAAAAGGGGGAGCTCTGCTCCATCTCACATTCACTTTATTGTAAGTTGATATTAGAAAGCAAGGTTACAAGATCCATCAACAGAAACCTTGCATTTCCAACTGCTGACTTACAAACAGTTGTTCACGGCTACCCCTTAAAAGCCTCAGACGCAAAATCCCTTGCAATCTTAGACAGGTTTGAGGCCGTAACCATGTGTCTGCTGAACACTGCTGAAGTTTGAGCATCGCCACCTTTTAACACCACTTCCGAGGCTCACAAAGCCCAAACACACCGTGACATCGACAAGGAATCAACCAAGTCATCATACCTTGGCAGGGAAGACCTTAGGAACGACCAGTACTTAGCTGACCCGTGCAGTTAAGTAATAACAGTATTTTTCTCCCTATCCTTATCCTCCTCTTCTTGCCGCCAAGTGGGCAGTGTTGATGAGATGTATGTGCTGCTGCGGCAGTGCCAGGCAAAGGAGCCCAACACAACCGCATCCTAGAATCATAGAATCATAGAATCATTAAGGTTGGAAGAGACCTCCAAGATCATCGAGTCCAACCGTCAACCCAACACCCCCATGCCCACTAAACCATGTCCCTAAGCGCCTCATCTACACGTCTTTTAAATACTTCCAGGGATGGTGACTCAACCACTTCCCTGGGCAGCCTGTTCCAATGTTTCACCACTCTTTCAGTAAAGAAAAGATCCTCCATCTCCACCAAACATACTGGGAACCACGTACCGAACCCTCCTCCAAGCTGCAGAAATTCCCACCCTCGACACTTTTTAGGACAGTTCTAGCACAGAAAAAACATGGAGACGAAGGAAGTCATCTCCATGACCTGGGGGGACCTAGAAGGGGGAATCAAATGATCCCCCGCTTTGGGGCTGTGGGAGGGGAGGGCAGGCGCTGGGCATCGGGAGCTTTAGGAGCATCCACGTGGCAGCCACGGAGCATCACACAAACCGAGAAACTAGCGGCAATACAGGAGTCAAAGCACCGGTAATGGAGCAAAGATCTCTTGCCTGTAGCGGTGCCAGTTTATCACGTACAGCGACATTTCCCAACCCTAGCATTTTTGGAGTGAAACCCATTTTATAAACGGTAGCAAACCCCACGATACTTAGAGGCATCGGGGCTATCTCAGAAAGGCAGCTCCCATTCTCAAAGCGCCAACCAACACATCCTTATTGCCTGGGCTAAATCTCGGGGCTCACCTCCGCCCCGGTCCCTCCGGCCCCGGCGCACACTGATACTGCTGGGAACGAAAGGGTCACGTTGTTGACCCACCTGCTCCTGTTTTCTTCAGTTGGATCTAGTCAAATTTCAGCAGCTGCAGAGCCGAACAAAGCGCCCCATTGTTATCTCCCGCGCAGCCGGAGAGGGAGCCACGGGGTTTTTTTTTTGGGGGGGAAAAAAAAAATGAAATAAAATAAACTGCCAATGGTGGCTGCACTTGCCCCACACGAGTTTCGAATGTTTGTTACATGTTCTGAACTCGATGCGGCAAAATCCATAGTTTGGCATTTTCTAGAGGTCTCTGCTGGGGCAAGGGAGGAGGAGAAGTGGGGAGGATGTGCCGGGGGGACAGGAAAGATAAGAAAGGGGAGGAAGCAAAAACAAAACCGAAAAAAGCTTTCCCATATTCCTTTTAGGGTTTTCAAATGTTTTTCTTCTTTAAAATTATATCAACCCTCCAATAGTTTAAATTTTCAGCTAGGAAATTTAGCTCAACATCAAGTGATCTCTAGAGTCAAAAACTATTTGCTGTTTGACAGAGGAACTGCGAAAGCCGGCACCGCACGGTCTCACCGAGTCCTTCGGCAGAGACCGTACGCGTTGGCAGGAACATCTGATGCAC